GCATTATGTGAAGCTCGTAAATGTACACAAGAACAGCACGTACAACATAGATGATTCTATGCATATTATATACATGTGTATGTTTGTGTATCTAGACAAATGTTAAATGCGTAGATTTCCATGAGTAATGTACGTAATTGGTAGCATTTGTGCATCACACACACACACACATACATATTATATATATAGCATATTTACACATTTACATATTCATATGTTTATACAAAGCCCTCATGCATTTGCCTCTCTCGCCCTCTGTCCCCGGCTGGTGATGAACGCAGATTTAGCGCGGCATGGTGCGCGTGTGTGTGTGTGTGTGTGTGTGTGTGTGTGTGTGTGTGTGTGTGTGTGTGTGTGTGTGTGTGTATGTCTCCACTCGAGCTCAGGTTCCGCCAAGTCTCAGCAAGTCTCAGGCATGCAAACTAAAAAGTAGCAAGACACTGCTGCGGTGGACAGCTGGACTGCAAATGATGAACACCAGTCAAGCAATACAGGCATACATACCAACCTACCTACCTACCTACCTACTTACCTACCTACCGACCTTCATCATACATACATACGTGTATGCAGAAAAAACATACATACATAAATGTATACAAACATAAATGTATACATACATACATACATACATACATACATACATACATACATACATACATACATACATACATACATACATACATACATACATACATACATACATACATACATACATACATACATACATACATACATACATGTGTACATACATACATACATACATACATACATACATACATACATACATACATACATACAGAGATAGCTAAAATATTTCATACATTCGTATATACATTCATACATACGTTCATACAGAAATTCATACATACACAAATACATGAATACAAAATTACATGAACACATACATACATACATACATACATACATAGATTCACACACATACATACATACATACATACATACATACATACATACATACATACATACATACATACATACATACATACATACATACTACATACGTAGATGCATACATACATACATACATACATAGATTCATACAGACATGCATTCGTACATACATACCTACATTCATATACCTACATTCATGCATGATTCATACATACATTCATACATTCATGAATCCATACATAAATACATTTATTCACACATTCATACATACGTGCATACGTGCATACATACATAGATTCATACATTCATGCTTTCATACATTCATACATCCGTACATACCTACATACGTTCATACATACATTCATTCCGACATACATGCATACATAACTATAGAACCATATATATATATACATATATGTTCTTTGTTTGTACATACATACATACATACATACATACATACATACATACATACATAAATACATACATGCATATATGCGTAAACACATTTATACATTGATAAATACATTCATTCATACACATATACACATACATACATTCATACATGAATGCATACATTCATACATTCATACATTTATTCATCCATACATACATTCATAGATACATACATACATGAATTCACAAATATACAAATTCCTTCATACATACATACATACATACATGCATACATACATACATACATACATTCCATACATACATACATACATACCTACATACATACATACATACATACCATACCATACCATACCATACCATACCATACCATACCATACCATACCATACCATACCATACCATACCATACCATACCATACCATACCATACATACATTCACACATACATACATGCATTCATACATACATACCTACATGCACACATACACATATACAGACATACACACACATACATCGATTTATACATACATACATACATGCATATATTTATACATACATTCAATCATACGTACATACATACATACATACATACATACATACATACATATATGCAATCTTTCACACATTCATACATACATTCATACATACGTTCATAAATACATACAAACACAAATACATGAATACACAATTACATAAATTCATACATACATACATACATTCATAGATACATATATACATGAATTAATAAACATATAAATTCCTTCCTTCATACATACATACATACATACATACATGCATTCCCTACATACATACATACATACATACATACATACATACATACATACCTACATACCTACATACCTACATACCTACATGCACACATACACATACATACACACACATACATACATACATCCATTAATACATACACACATACATACATACATAGATACATACATACATACATACATACATACATGTATACATTCATAAGTTCACACATTCATAGATACAACTATTCAATCATTCATACATTTTTATATACATCTATACATAAATTCATACATACACAAATGCGTAAATACATACACAAGTACATTCATACATACATAAATTCATGCATATATGTTTGTATACATGCATACATACATTCCTACATTCACATATGTACTGAAACATACATACCCACATACATGCATACATACATACATACGTACATTCCTGCATTCATATATAGATACATACATACCTACCTACATACATACATACATACATTCCTACATTCATATATATATATATCTACATACATACACACGTACATACACTCACATGTGCATACATTCATACATGCATACATACATATATGTATACATACATGCATACATACATACATATGTACCTACATACTTATGTACGTACTTACATACATACATACATGCATGCATACATACATGCATACATACATACATACATAAACACATACGTACATACGAACGTTCATACATACATACATACATACGTGCATGTATACATACATATATGTATACATACACGCATGCATACATACATAAACACATATATACATACGTACCTACATACATACATGCATACATGCATACATTCATACATGTATACCTACATACATACATTCATACGTACATACATTCATAGATACATACATTCCAACATTTATACATTCGTATTTGCGTACACACATGCATACATACATTCATACACAAAGACATACATACATATGTATCTACATACACACGTGCATACATGCATACATTAATACATGTATACATACATAAACACAGACATACATACGTACCTACATACATACATGCATACATGCATACATTCATACATGTATACATACATGCATACATTCATACATACATACGTACCTACATACACAAATGCATACATACATACATGCATACATACATGCATACGTACGTACATACATACGTGCATACATGCACACGTTCATACATGTATACACACACACAAACACAGACATACATACGTACCTACATACATACATTCATACATGTATACATACAAGCATACATGCATACATGCATACATACATATATAAGTATACATACATGAATGCATATGTACATACATAAACACATACATACATACATTCCTACATTTGGATATTCATACATACATTCATTTTTTTGGTAATCTTGTTGTGTACATTCCTCTTTCTCTTCTGTGCGCCAGGAACTTGGAGCCGGAGCTGCGGCGGCGTTGCGCGGCTCAGGGCGGAGCGGCCTGGGTGCAGCTGCTGCTGGAGCCCGCGGAGCGGCTCAGGCGCTTGGGCCTGGCACGTCGGCCGCGCGGATGCGCGGATTCCACCCAAGCCAGCCAAAGGAAATAACAAAAGGGGCATGAGGGAAGAAATGGGTATGGGTCGAAATTAAACCAGGGGATTGCAGGGTTTAGTCCATGTCTCCACTTACCAGGGTTCCATTTTGGGCACACTTTTTTGACCCAGAGCCATATGGGTTTGTCGTTCTTTTTCAGGGCCAAAAACAAATGGATGCGACGGTTTTCCCTGTGTGAAATGTAATGCTATGTTGTGCTGGGTACGTGTTTATTCTCATGCATGCATGGTCTTCGAATTGGATTCCAAGTCTTTCGAATTGGACTCCTTCCGGTTGACTCCCATGCCTGAGGTCCGGGAGAATCACGGGATCTTGAGATGCTTGCGTTCCGGGTATTTTGAACCCAACATCCGGCTGTGGATCAAAACTAAACCACCAGAAAACTGCAGGTGTTAGTCCTTGGTTCCGTTTACCAGGGTTCCATTTTGAGTACCTATCTTTGACCCACCAAGCGATGAGGAAGGTGCTGAAGAGCTCAACATGATGTCACTTTGGCCTTGCCCCAAGCTACAGCTGCCATTCTGCAGGGCTGGTGCCATAGGAGGGCGGCAATCAAAGTGGCAACCCTGGTTTGCTTGCCAATCCTGGATTACGCATGGCAAAGCCGCAGTATTCACGAGGCCCGCCTTGGAGTGTGAAAAGTCCATCTCTTGTCAGAAGGCACTCTTTTTAGAAGTGGCATCCTGTGAACCCTGAGTTTTTGTCAGTGCATTTAGTAAGCTGCATGCCTTTGTTTTCTGCTATGAGAGCTTGCATTTGTTTGCCCAAATTAGGCTTCGCATATGATTGCTTCATGTTGTCACCTGGAAAGGAGGATTTGGCACCGGGGGATTCGCCTTGATGCGCCTTGTAGTGCCTCTACAATCTATGTCTGTCTATACATATATATATATACATATATGTATGTATATAGGCACGAGTAGAGCATATCAAGTCCGCATACATTGTGCAGGCGCTGGACTTGCGTGGTTCCGGCTGACGCGCAAGAAAGGAGGCCTGACCTGCTTCTGATTATCGAGTCATTTGTGGTGCTGAGCCTTTTGTGCATTTCGAGCCAAGGTAAGGTGCGGAAAATGCACCGTAGCTGCCATGCAATTGCTGAATGATTGGGAAATTGTGGCTTGCAAATGCAAACGAGCCTGCAGGTTGCGCGATGACTTGCAAATGCCATGGCAGTGATGGTCGAAAAAGCTGTGCCTGCGAATCGCTGACTGAGCTTCGTGTGATTGCTGCACGCGCAGTCCTGGTTGGCAGAGATCTTGATTTTGAGCTGAGGCACGAGCCCAACAAGCTGCCCAGCAAGCCGCGCAGCAAGCCGCGCAGCAGGCTGCCCAGGCGGCCACACAAGCCCCGCCGCCCAGTCCGGGCCTGGCTCCTCCAAACCAGGCCCAGCAGGCGGCCCAGCAAGCAGCGCAGCAAGCAGCGCAGCAAGCGGCCCAGCAGGCTGCGGCGCAGCAAGCGGCCCAACAAGCGGCGCAGCAGGCTGCGGCCCAGCAAGCGGCACAGGCGGCAGCTCAAGCAGGAGTCTCCCTGGGCAGCTTGGGTGGATTATCCCTGGATAGCCTTCATGGACTGGATAGCCTTCATGGACTGCAACTGGTGCCCTGGCAAAAGGAAAAGGGGGGGGAGAGGGGAGAGGGGAGACCCGGCGGTTTTGACGGCAGTGCTCAGCTTCCAAGTGCCAAGTGAGTGCGTGTGACCTGCGAGCCGCTTGTCGCATGCGCTTCGCTCAGGCGGGACTGGATCAAGCCAATGCCCAAGCCCAGTCGCAGGCGTTGGGTGCAGCCACTGAGGGGGCCGGACAGCTGGTTGCAATGCACGAGTAACGTTACGAGCCGAAGCCGAAACTCGAATGGGCAAATTGATGGGCATCCCCTCCTTTCTGGCTAGTTCGGCAGGCCAATGCCGATGTTTATTCAATCCAAGACTCTCTGAGAGTTTCGAGTTGGCTTGCCCCCTAGTGCGTGAAAGCTGAGACAATGGCAGGCCAAGATGCACATGGCAGGAGAGCATCCAGATTTTCTTGTGTCCGCTTTGATTGAATTGGCAACCGGGGTGCGAAGAGATGGCAGTTGTGAGCCGCCCTCTCCTGACGGTTCCTCCATTCCCCCTTTTTGGACCCTTCAAAAGTGGCATTTCCACGGAACCACTAGTAAATTGCAATGATTGAAGGGCAAATCCAGTGAGCATTGTATCTGAAATGATATTTTTGTCGGATGCCTACGTCCAAAATTCGAAAGACGTCAAGGAAAAGCCGCCTTACCCAGGCGGCAATAGATGCGCAGGCAGCGCTCGATGCACCGCGCCCAGGGGCAAGTCTGCAAGGCGATTTGTATCATTTTATTGACCCCTGCACGGCTGATAATATATATATATATATACACATGTATTTATCAATGTATACATTCATATATATATATATATATGTGCATATATACATGAATCTATAGACCCATATATATATATATATATATATATATATATATGTTCCAGGCCGTGGACCCCCCCCCCCTCCCCCCCAACCCCCCCCCCCCTGTGGGGGTGGGGTGGGTGGGTGGTGGGGTGGTGGTGGGGTGGTGGGGTGGTGGTTGGGTGGTTGGGTGGTTGGGCCAACCCCCCCCCCCCCTGTGGGGGGTGGGGTGGGTGGTGGGGTGGTGGTGGGGTGGTGGGGTGGTGGGGTGGTGGGGTGGTGGGGTGGTTGGGTGGTTGGGTGGTTGGGTGGTTGGGTGGTTGGGTGGTTGGGTGGTTGGGTGGTTGGGTGGTTGGGTGGTTGGGTGGTTGGGGTGTGGTTCGGAGTTGGTTTAGGCTTGGTGGGTTGGTTTAGGGTTGGTTCAGGGTTGGGTTTTGGGTTGATTTAGGCTTAGGGTTGGGGTTAAGGAGGGGTTGCAGGGTGGTTTGGTTTAGGGTAGGATGTTGCGAGAGGTGCGGGGGTGTTGGTTCACGGGGTGAAAGGGGGTCTGGGACCGAAGCTGCAGGGCTCGCACGGTACTGGACAGCATCCCCAGCATTGCCAGCATCATCCCCAAGATGCGGATGATGCGGGGGAGTGGGGGGACCATACCATTGGGGGGGGGGGGGTACGTGGCCCAGGGACTGGTACATATATATACACACACACACACATGTAAACCGGTATTTGTCTCGCCAACCAGCAGGGGCGAATCATTTGCAGTCTTCTCAGCTTTCCAGCGCCCCTCGTGCCCGCGTTGAGGCACACAACGCCGCAAGCCTCGCGGAGCTGCAAGCTCAAGCGCAGGCCGCGCGGCTCAAGACGCACGTCGCAGCTCGCACGTGTTGCTCGGGCTCTTCGGTTGGGGGCAGGCCCCCATGGCGTAAAAAGTTTACATCCAACAAGGTATTTTCAGCCATCCAGGATATCTTCCAAAACTTCCCCATGCCATTTTTTTGGTTGACATGGGTATTTTTGTTTCTCAAGCTCGGACAAATTTTGTGGCATGCCACCCTAGCTTCAGGGTGGGACAATACGAGGTTTGATTGGGCGTGCAAATGGGTGTGTCTCTAAGCAGATTCCCTTCGGGGCGTGTTTGCCAGCTTTCTTTCAAACTGAAGCCTGAGGCGCATGCCCAGGCTCGGGAGAGAGGGAAGTCAGGAATTGGAAAGAGCACAGAAAGGAAGGCACAGTCTGTTTTTCCCAAGGAAAGACAGCTTCAAAAACTTGTCCATGCGCAGAAACGGAGATAAAGCGGAGACCTGCTGCTTTGTTGCCAGGCGCAAGTGCAAGCAGCGGAAGCGGCCGCGAGATTTGCACAGGCAGCAATGAGCTTTTGGGGGGGTGGGGGAAGGGGGGGGTTGGGGGGTTGGGGGGTTGGGGCGCTTGTGCGTGGCAACCCCAAGCTCGCAGCCGCAAAGGTACAATCTTTGGGGTCCTTTTTGGTTGTTTTCTTAGAAAAAAATAGATGGCGATTCCTGGTTTACCTGGTGGTTTAATCATCTATCAGGGCCATCTATTTCCCCCAAAAGGACACCTATGCTTGCAATGCAACAACCAAGACATGTTCTTGCAGTCTAGTGAGCATGCTGTGGGGTTCTCAGATTGCTTTTGGGAGCTTGTTTCTCACAACGAGGCTAACTTTGAGGAAGTCACTCTGATCGACCCGGTCTTGTCCAGCCAAAAATTGACCCGCAAAATGAGCAGCGATCTCCAGGAACAGGCGCAGGCTGTGGCTGAAGCGCAGCAGCGCGCAGTGGTGCAGGCGCAAAGCACAAAATCGGGGCTCGAGACGCCACACCGGGCGCTCAAAATCGTGGCTCCTTTCGGATATGCGTCAAACATAGAAGCGCTTAAGGGGAAACACAGCCACATTCTGGATCCCCTTGGTGCCCAACTAGAGGAATCATCACAAGGAAGCAAGCTGGACCACCAGGGAACCACGAATCTGAATCTGCAGGATGTGAGATGGTGAGCTCCCTTTGGTCTTAGAATTGGACATATTTCAAGCAACTCAGGATGTCTCATGCAGAGATATGCCAAGGGAACGCATCTCACTGGGTCTGAGGTGAACATTGGGCCTTCGGGATGATCATTACAAGGGGACCATGGCCATCCTCCCTTGATGTTACCATTGGTAAATGGAACCAAGGGCTAAATCCGGCAGTTTTCCGGTGGTTTAATTTTGACCAGCCATGATCTGTCTCATAAGAAGCCGGTCGGATGCAACTGAAGGTAGATCTGGAACCAATCCTAGCTCTGCAGGCACAAGCTGCAGCAGCAGCTGAGCAAGCCAGGCTGGGCGATGCGACACCGACTTAGCCACGTGCTCCAAACCGATTCGGGTTGATTGATGATCCGGTTAGTAAGGGACGACCCCCTTGCGATAAATAGCTGCGGATATCCGCCTTCTTAGTTCTATACATGGTTGTGGGTGCACCATGTTTGTACCGGGTTTTCATTGTGACTCAATTGGTTTCCGACAAGCTCTCAAACAAGGCCGCAGGGATTGTTTCGAGACAACCTCTCGCGCTTCGGCAGCAAATGAACATGCTTCAACAATGGAAGCCACAAAAAGCTGTCCTGAGCATCCATCCATTCGCATCCCCCACCCATCCCATCAGTCGTGTGGTTTTCCGATGGACCGCCTGGGCCGACGCCGACGCCGACCGGGGCCGCAGGCTGCAGCAGCAACAGCAGCAGCAGCAGCGGGAGCAGGCCATCGCGCACGCCAAGCAGCGCCGCGAGGAGCGCCGTAGCGTGTTGGGTCAAGGATGGGATGGCATAGGTGTCCTTTTTGGGTTGTTTTGGTACGATGGCGATTCCTGGTTTATCTGGTGGACGCCTATGCCCAAAGCGCGAGTTGGGTCAAGGATGGTACGGCCTGAGCCATGGATGAACGAAAGAAGCACGTGCTCCCATTCCGATGAGGAAACGAGGAAAGGGGCTATGATCCTTTTCAATTGCATCAATGCCTTTAGCTCTCACTCTGAATGCTCGAGAGCTGTCTTTGCGTGTGCTTTTTTGCCGGCCACCAGACAAATCAAATCAGTGGCGCGCTTTCCCCCGAAGGTCAAGGTTGCTTGCAGCCCAACGCACGCCTGTGCTCTAACAATGCTGTCACAGCGAAGATGCTCAATCGTTTGCGGGGAGCGATCTGCCTGGGATAAGCGGGAATCTTGCCCTCAAAAAGGACACCCAAAGGAGACTGTTGAAAGAGTTGAGTGGTTTAAACTGTGGTTACAAGTGATTGAACCCCCCCAAACATGGCAAGAAGGCGGTGGACCCCAAAACGCCCCTGTCGCGTGTCAACCGCTGCCCTTGGGACCGAAGCGAAGGAGAAGATCAAAGAGGCGCAGATGGAGCGGGAGGCCGAGGAGAAGCTGAGGCGAGGCTGAACTTGGCTCAGGTCCACCTGAGGCGTCTTTCGGCGTTTTTTTTGGGTGGCGTTGCATGGCTTTTCCTTTGGTTACTTTCGGTTAGATGTGTGGCTTTCTTTGTTTACGTTTGGCTGCTTTCGGCTTACCTTTGTGGCATTCTTGAAGGCTTCGTGAAAGTTTTGGCGCTCGGCCTGGCAAGGTCAGGGTTACATGGGCTGCAGCGGCGATATGGCGCATGTGCAAAAGTGGACCAAGTTGGTAGCTGCGATTTTAATCGCTTCTTCCAGACCAATGGCCGTGCAGTGGGAATGTTTTCACAAAAGCCGGCCTGAGATCAGCATGGCTGATCCGCCGGGAGGTGTCACCTGCACAAGAAGCCCAACAACAAGTGCAAGTTCTGCAAGCGTCATCAGGACTGTACCCGTTGCTTCGGTTCCGAATGGCACGTTCTCCGGTTGATCTAGCAGAAAGGGTGCGATGGTCAGGAGCACATCACGAATCGTGACGAGAAGAAGGCTCAGTCGGTCAAAAGTAGCCCAGCGGAGAGGAGATTTGACTTGGGTCAGCGCCTTAGTCAATCCAGCGGGTAAGCTGCTTTGCCGATGGGCTGCATGTTGGGTAGGGACTGGTCTCGCACAAAGACTTGAAAGCCATCAAACACATTATATCGCCGTATCATCAAAGAGATTTGGCATTACCCAAAGCACGTTCCCAAAAGGAAGGGACAAGAGAAGGAAGGAAGGAAGGAAGGAAAGGAAGAGAAGGAAAGCACGATCGGCTTCCTTAACCCACGCACAAATCATTCCATACGCAGCCTCAATTGTTGCTACTGTAACCACTATATATCTTGAACCCCACCCAACCGTCACCCCACATTTTCCAACACTTTGCTTCTAGTATCCCTTGTAAAAGGAGGTGTGTCTTTTGTTAGGTTGGCCCCCCAAATTGGTGGTTCTCCTGTCGGTTTCCTTTTAAAACAACAAACAAGTCTAATAAGGACAGACCCATATGGGTACCAACCCAAAAGACACCCTCAGTAAAGCCGACCCACGCCCTCCTTGTCGCATTTTTGTTTGTTGGTGTACTCGGTCTTGTTCCGCGTAATGGGTCTGAAAATAACCTATAAGTTTCCTTGACACCAAACATGTTTGTTGCCGCGTTGCGCAAGACACTTCATCATATTTGTTGATGCCTCACGTTCATGGCTTTGATGGCTGAGTCAAGCAGGCGCCGCAGATGGCCCTCCATGTTGCCATGCCAGGAGGGCAAAAGTAGTCTAGGAGTCCAGGCCCCGATTTGCTTTCCCCTCTCGCCGAGTCAATACGCCCCGGGGAGCGCTGGAGATTGCGAACAGCAAGACCTATGGCTTTAGCCCGCTGTTGCAAACGCATGCCGGGGACCCAGTGGATCGCCAAAGAAAGTCAGAGATCGCCAGATCGCCATGCTTGTCAGCTTGGCAGATTTTTCTTGAAGCGATGTTCTCGCGTGAGGTGGTGGAGTCGGCTCACTTCAAGGCGCAAACTGGCGAGGGAATTGTTGGAATAGACGCAAAGGATCCTTTATTCATTTGATGATCCTTCGATGTAGCGGAGAATCCAAGGCTTCCAACCAAGGCCCAAATGGCCTTAGGAGTGGATCCCGACCTTCGATCCATACCTTCCCACCGTAATCGGTGCGCATCTCCCTGGGAGTCGACAGGCGCTTCTGTCCCTGGAGTCCTTCGACCAGATGATCGAGGAGATGAACCAGCCGTGGGCTCAGCGAAGGAAGGTGTGTGTTGACTTGGTGGTGCGAGAGATGCAGGGAATAAGAAATGGAATGATGCCTAGAAACAACATCCACCTGGTGGTTTCCTTGGGGACCCCTGCCCTACTGAGCACCAGCAAGTTGAGGGCACCCTCTTTGCCTTGGTTTTAGGGAAACAAAAATGGGTACCCTGCAACACATACCCAGGTTGAGCAGGGGCGGGTTGTTTTGCTTGGTGAATTTGACACAAATGTAGGCTCAGTTGTCCGGATGGCCCACCCCGTTAGAACATGCTGAGGTTTGCAGACAACATCGAGCCGTGCGCCAATCAGCCGTGCACCACTTCTTGTTCTTGTTGTGGTTGTTGCGGTTGTTGTGAAGGATATGGTGTATGCGGTGGTTTTGGTAGTTGTGATGGTCGTGGTGGTTGTCGTGGTTGGGTTGTTTTGGCTGTGGTGATTGTGATGGTTGTTGTGGCTGTGGTGGTTGTGGTGGTTGTTGTGGCTGTGGTGGTTGTGGTGGTTGTTGTGGCTGTGGTGGTTGTGTTGGTTGTCGTGTTTGTGGTGGTTGTGGTGGTTGTGATGGTTGTGATTTTTGTGGTGGTCGTGGTGGTCGTAGGTTGTCGTTGGTGGTTGCGGTGGTCGTCCTGGTCGTGGTGGTTGTGGTGGTTGTGGTGATTGCAGGTGGTCGTGCTGGTCGTGGTTGTTGTGGTGGTTGTAGGTGGTTGTAGGTGGTCGTGGTGGTCGTGGTGGTTGTAGGTTGTCGTGGTAGTCGTGGTGGTCGTGCTGGCCGTGGTGGTTGTGGTGGTTGTAGGTTGTGGTGGTTGTAGGTGGTCGTGGTGGTGGTGGTTGTCATGGTTGGTGGTGGTGGTGGTGGTGGCGGTGGTGGTTGTCGTGGTTGTCGTGGTTGTCGTGGTTGTCGTGGTTGTCGTGGTTGTCGTGGTTGTCGTGGTTGTCGTGGTTGTCGTGGTTGCGGCTGCGGCTGCGGCTGCTGCTGCTGCTGCTGCTGCTGCTGCTGCTGCTGCTGCTGCTGTGGTTGTCGTTGTCGTTGTCGTCGTTCAGGACATCTTGCAGCTCAAAGCGCAGCGCTGCCTTTTGTCCAGGTATATGCCCAACAGCAATACGACACCCTCAGCGCTTTTCTGCTGTCTCTACCGGCTGTTCACTATGGGAATCGACAGCACCCTGGCAGCACGGGACGCTGGCAAGTCAGGCAGCTGATTTTGGTGCTTCAAGTTCAGTGGCGGTGAACCTTTCAAGCCAAACCTGGGTGTCCAGCTTGCATGGCCGAAATTGTCCCGATTTTTCCTCATATTTGAGCAACGGCTCAAAGAGCTGCATTCATTCACGGCTTGCAGGCCGGCAGCTCAGAAGGCAGGGCTGAGAGACTGACCGAGAGCCTGGGGAAGTGGGTGAGGCGGCGCTTTTTGGTTTCAAGGGAACCCATTCTGTGGGGTCTTTCTGCGACAAGCCCAAGGGCCTGCATTTTGGCCGCGTTCGCTGCAATGAAGACACCACCTGGGGCCAGGTTGATGGACCATGCGGACAACACGTACATTCGATGTGTAGGCGGGGTGGCTGGGGCGTCGGCAAACTTGCCGAAATCGCATCTCCCTTCGACCTGTCATACATGTGTTCATATACATATATATATATATATACACATACATACACACATATTCATACATGTTTATATATTTGTACATAAATACATAAGAATAGCTTTGAGGAGACAAAGAGAGAGAGAGAGAGAGAGAGAGAGAGACAGACAGGGATAGAGCTAGAGATAAACATAAAATATAGAGATAGCGGACTGAACATTCGAAATTCGTTTTGAAGGTTTCCACCACTCAACTTGGAGCTGATTCTAAGTTTTCTTGAACGATTCGCAGGCTTTCTCTTCGTGCGCTTCGGCCTGGCGCCTGACTCGCTTGGCTGGCATGTCACCTTTGGTTCGGAGTATACCGTCATCACCAGCTGGAGAGGGGGGTGGGGTGGGGATTATGGTTGTCAGAGGACACGTTTGAACGTGTTGTATTGAATGGATTCGGATCGTTGATGCAGGACAATCATGTGTGTGTGTGTGGCATTTGGTAGCACCTATGACTCAGCCAAGGTTAGCTTTTGTGTTTTTTTTTTTTGTGTATTTCTACAGGCAGCGCGAAATGACAGGGGTTCCAAAGGGGCCCTATATAGTTTTGTCAACCATTTGACATCACAACAACCAATACGTACATGTTGAATTTAGCCTGACTACCACATGTGGCTTGACCTGTGCAACTGAGAAGCAGACACAGTCAAACAGCTTTGGCAACATGACTGTCTTCAACCTGATTGAGTTGCAGCAACACCATTTCGAATTCTGTTCAGCAAGGCATGTTTCAGGTATAGGGCGGTGGCCATAGCCTAGGCCCTGTATGCCAAAGTTGAACAAGGCGCTTAGAACTGAGTTTCCTGAACGGCGAAGACAACAGACAACACAAGAGTCGGGATTCCACCGCCGCGCTCCGAGACTCCAAGTTCTAGATGCTGGTTCTGTGGAGGGCCGATGGGTGGAGATCAGTCGAGGACAGGGTTCCTGTGTGACAATATGGCTCTAAGATACCTTCTAGAGGGGGAGCCCACAGCTTTCTCTCCCGAACCACCGCCACCTCTCCGCGATATCGATCTGCGCAGAATCCGATCCGATGGCCATGTCGTCTAGCGGCAGCGCGCAGTCCCTGCTGGAAGCCTCGGGGCCAGCATGGACGGAGAAGGCAGGATGGAGTTGGGGATTTCCATTTGGGTGTGTCTCAAAGGGGTGGGTCGTTGGTGGGTTTCCTTTAGTTTCCCTTTGAAGCCACCTCAAAAAGGATGCCCTCACAAAAACCCACTCCTTTGCATCGGACACAACTGGAAGGTTTCTCTCGATCCACGCGAGAAGTGGCTTTTCTTGATGGCTGCTTCCCTCTTCGCTGTGAAGAAGCGATGGGCACGTTTCATGCGGCCTTTTTTTGCTTTCAAAGCTTTGGACATCGCTGCGTCCTTTCTTGAGGGGTACCTGGTCGCCATCTTGGGGCTCTTCCAGGGGCCCCTCCCAGAAAACACACATTTCTAGGGTTCCAACCCATTTTGAGACATTTTTGGCGAGGTCACCTCGAGCCTGGCGATGTGTGTGAGCGCGCCTTTGCTGGTGGGCTTCTGATGCCTGCCCACGATGCTGAGTGCGCCTTCTGCGCACAAGGATCTTTTGTTACGAACTGGTATTCTTGAAAGCGAAGCCAGGAGGTGTTTTTAAAGCAGTGGTTGAAGGTTTCCTGTTTGAACAAGGGGCTGGCCGAATGGCCCCAAAGTTTCCTGTCAATTCCTTGCAGAACTGAGATCACGAAAGGCTAATGTGCAATCAGGCGAAAATGGGAAGAGCGGCAATGACTGCACCTCCCATTTCACCCCAACATGCAGCCTTGTCAACAAAGCGACAGGTTGATTGAGAGGGAGTGCATGCCAACGCGCTCTATCAAATGAAGCTGACTCCTGATTCCTGACTTCTGAATGACAGTCTTATTACCAGCCGAACGATTTGGCATGTGTCACTTGGGTGGGTCAAAACATAGGTAGGAACCCAAGGACTAAGACCAATGATCCTCCGGTTTAATTTTGACCGATACCCTCTTGAGCTAAAGAAATGCTACAGGGCACTGGCCCGCACTTCGGGACTGTGACCATGGCATATCTGGGTGTGTCTTTTTTATAAGGGGCACCTCCTTTTCTTGGTCGGATTTACAGAGGAGGACAGCCCACCCATTTTTGGGGCCCTGTTTTAAGACCCCCATTTGGGGGATCCGACCGAGCCGCCATGGAGTCGGTGACCGTTTTGGGCGTACATCCAAGGTACTGCTGGGAATGGCCTTCAGCAACGAGGCGCTTCTGGGCTGGGACCGAAGCCAACGGGGCAGTTTTCCTTTTCGATTTGGAAGCTGGTGGCCGGCTTTGGACTTTTTTGCTTAATCGATTTTTCGGATTGTGATTTTGCCTTGTTGGCTTTGGTGCAGGTCCCCTCTTAAACGGCTTTGTGCAAAGGCCAGATGCACCACCCATTTGCGTCGGGATTGTTCACTGGGGAAGTAACTGGGGTAACTCACCACCGCCGAGACGCGGGGCTGAGGTGGTCTTCCTGTCGCACCAGCTGCAGTTCGCGGCGCTGCTGGCGGTGCTGTGCAGCTACGTCACCAGCGAGCTGCAGAAGCGGAACTTCCGCTGGGCTCTTCGGCCTCGGCCGAGGAAAAATCCAACGGGGAAAACTTCCATTTGCTGAAATGAATATTTTATTTTATTTTCCCTGGTTGGTCTTACAAGGAATTTATAACTACTGCAAAATATCGACATTTTGTTATATATTGTTATTTTTCCAGGGGTCTTAGCCAAATGAAAGGAAACACACGGGGGGGGGCTCCAAAAAGACCGGGAGACGGGGTCTCCTGTTCTTGGGTTGGGCTTCAAAGGGAAGCCACCAGGAAAGCATCGCCCCGGGGGAAAGGGGCGGGGTTCTGGCGCGCTTGGGGTTTGGAAGAGGGGACTAGCAGTGCTTTGTGGTTGTTTGAAGTCAGAGGCGTATTTGATTTGCTCAATGGCGCTCGCACGGCCCTGACAGGGCATTTGGTGTGACCCCCATTTTTGCCTTGACCCAAGTGCAGTGGGAGACAGCATGTTGCCACCTGCTTCCCCGAGGATTAGCATTTGCTGGGAGGTTATTATGACCATTTAGCGCCAGTTGTGGTCCCAGGCTTTGTGGATTACCAGCGCCATGGTCCTGGTCTTGTTGGACCCCCTGCGGCACGTGGTCTACGACGCCCAGTTCAATCCTGCGACCTGCGGTCCGCCCGGCGCGCTCATGAGCCGTGAGCGCTTCTTTGCGCTGGCCCTTGTTTGTCGCATGGGGCAGGCGGGGAATGGAAGCTTAGAGACATGATGACAGGTGGCCAGGGGTCAAAACCTATTGCCTCCAGTGAACATCCCACCCTCCACTAAAATAGACTAAAATGGGTGGTGCACCTACCCCAAAATGGTACCATTGGTTTTGAACCATGGCCAGGTAAGCCCCATTCCCACAAATCCCGCGTTAGGACATGTTGTGGAATATCCTGAGGTTCTTGAATATTTGGTGTCAGGTCCTGGGCAATGCCATGATCCTGGCAACCCTCTTCCGCTCCACGATCACCGGGCTTTTGGAGCCCTACTGCGCCTCTCAGGATGCAAAGTGCACCTAGGCACCGAGTCGCAGTGTTTCACCCGCAGGGGTTGAACGACTCCGGTCCAAGTAACTCCAGGGGCATTGCGACCCGAAAGCCATTCCGCCGTTGGCGAAGTTTGAACAACCCTCACATCTTGTACACAGAAATGGGCAGGGATCTGCAACTTCCGGGGCCTTGCGGTGGAAGTCTGTGCACTTTCAAAGCCTGAAGAGCAGAATCCCTCGCCTCGCTCCATGCAGCAGGGCACAAGGTGTGAAGCCTTCCGGCAACGCTGGAAAGGGCTGAGAGATGTGTCCGAATGCTTCAGCTTGCGAGGCGTAGTTTATGTGAGGCTGCGTGGCAAATGGAGAAAAGTGCGAGGCAGCACAATGTAGGGCGCGGTGGCGGCAGGAGGGGGGGGGGGCCTCCCAGAACTCGGAAGACAGGATGTGGCTTAGATTGGTGAATACATGATCTCAGCTATACTCAGCAGCGCAGTGGTGTCTGGATATTGAGAATAAACACATGCATGCATAATATATAATATATATGTCATACCCAGGAACATATGATAACAGCGTCACGCCAGCGTCTACACCTATACCCATGTACAACGAGCCATGCGTGTATGTAAATACGTATATGTATATATATATATATATACATATTCATACATCCCTCTAGTGTGTTTGGTGTCTTTTTTCCTTTTTGACACCACTATATATATATATATACATATGTATCTAAGGTAATGTGATGAAGTGAAGTGTAGTGTAGTGTAGTGTAGTGTAGTGTGTACGTTTGTTATGAATGTATGTTTGTATGTATTTATGTATTTATGTGTGTATGCATGTATGTTTGTATGTATTCATGTATTGTATGCAATGCAATGCAATACAATTTAATGTAATGTAATGCAATGTAAGGTAAGGTAACGTAATGTAATGTAGTGTATGTATCTATGTATGCACGTAATGTATGTATGTATGTA